TCTTTTTCTGGATTTTATTTCAGGACACTCCTTATTCTTTTCTCCTCACTTTTCTTTAACACTTTGCACTTACTTTCTTGTATTTTCACATATACCAAACACTGTTTTTACAATTTCACTAATTTTGTATTGTGATTACTTTAAACGTATTATGATACTAGGTTGGTCTGTCTGTTTTACTGTCAAATGTCAAATCTCAATCAATATTGATATTTACTTTATATAACTTTGAGTATGTATTTCTTCTAAATTTTATCAAATTTTACTTATTTTAAATGTTGTAGGTTAAACATGTGCTCTCTACGGAGATTATGGACATACTGCCCAATTTTGTCGTCTGGTTCCTATATTAATAGCTATTTTCCAGTGGTTGTTATGGAAATAAATTATGCCTCAAAATTATAAAAATAAAATTGCAAATTTTGGAATTATGCTTGGCTTAATCTCGAAACAACTTACATATTGTGATTTCTCGTACTCTCAGCTTTCTATTGATATCCCTTTCATCATATTACGATCAAAGCTTAACCTCAATGTCTCATCACCTATATTTTACAATTTTAAGCATTATTACCCATTCAAACTACAATTTATGTATCTAAATCAACTCTCTATCCTTTAATGCATGTTGTATGCATGTTTTTATAGTCCTGGATAATTTATTTATTCTAATTAAGTCCTATGAACTTGCATGTATCGTAGCACTGTCAAACTCATCGGCTTATTTTAACATAAAATTGTTTTTACCAGTATTGGTGTATTGTAATATAGTCTAGGGACTGTCTTTTTATTCATTACATGTAAATATACTGGTTTTATAACACTATACTGCTTAAAATTCTAATTTTTTTCAATATTATTCCGAGTAATGTCACTTCCGTTGGTTTTTTTACNCAAGTTTTATTTACGGAAAAATTAAAAGAGCTAGGAATAAAATGCAAGAGGGTAATTTTGTTTGTAAAATAAAAAGTGGATCATAAAAAAATATTTAAAAAAATGTTTTTACCAGAGGCGTACCACAATTTTCTTCGAAAAACCTTACAGTACAATCCGTATGCACGCCACTGAGTAACTTACAAAGTCAATCTTTTTCCTGCTACTAAGGGATTATCAAATTAAGCTAAGGCCAATATTTCGTTCCATTATCTTATAATGTTCGAAAGTTATTGGAGAAAAACTAAATTTTTTGAAGCTTTTTAGCGCCCTGTAGCTTAGGCAAGTTAAGGCAAAATAAAACCCATAGAGCATAACTTCATATGAGAAAAATGTATTTTTTAAACCAAAAAATCCACCATTTAATTTATTCCCAACCTTTACGTTACACCCAGTATAGGGTGATTCAATTATAAAATTGAAAACGATGATACATATTTTTTTACAGGTAGGCTAAAAAATTAAAAATACAGTACTCATATATAGTGTCCTTTTGAAGTAAGTGCATTCTTTCAGAGGGTAATAGAACAGACTATTTTAAGCGAAAAAGTTTCCTATGAACATAAAAAAAATCTGATATGACTCTGAGGATGTTTGATGTAGACTGATGAAACTTGGGATTTATCAACGTGGGAGTGAACACCTACTATGTTGACTTAAAATATGTCAACTCAGCCAGCGGCGAACATACGAGGGGTCAGTACCAGTAGAAGTCTATGTAATTTTTTGTAAGGACTATTCTATTAAGGGCGTTTCACGTCAACGGGCACAGTGGGCTGCCCAGAATAAAAATGCATCAATATTGACGTTCGACGTGTCAAAAGCTTCGTATTTAAAAACTCTATCGAATGCCGTCTGGTGATTTAAAAAAAACATCATGGCGGTTCCAATATGGCGTCCGCAATCATGGAAAATTCTGTTTAATGAGCAATATTTATAGATACGAAACATAAAAATACTGTATTGTAGACTGAATCACCATATCTATACGGTTTTGGGGTTGCTGATTTCGAATTCAATATTCATTCAACCCCATCTGGTCACTGTTCGTCCCTAACCTTAAAAATACTTCAAATCTTTGAAATAATGCGTTTCTACGATGAGTAACAGTCTAACCACCACAATTTATGTTTTCCGGATCGCTGAAATCAATTCTGATATCAATATAACTTCAACTAGTCAGAGTTCGTGCCTAACCTCAAAAACTAGCGCAAATTGCTAAGATTACACTTTTCTACGTTTAGGAAAATTTTTTTTAAAGACGGCATTCGATAGAGTTTTTAAATACGAAGCTTTTGACACGTCGAACGTCAATATTGATGCATTTTTATTCTGGGCAGCCCACTGTGCCCGTTGACGTGAAACGCCCGATATATNACATTCGCAAGGAAAGAAATATGTAAATAGATTTTTATCGCACCTATTTTATATCGGCAAATTCAACTGCTTTTGCCTTTATTAATTAATAAAATTAATTTGTTTTTAAATAATAAAATCATTTGACATACCCGACGTTACAACAACAATTGTTCAAAATTTTATCCACCAACGTATAAACACATTTGGGTTCGTCTTACTCAGTTTCTACGAACTAACACAAATGTTGTCTTGCTTCACCATAACACAAAGGCTTCACCATAAATTAAAAGGGGGCTGTAACTCCGAAAGAGGGGCCACTTGGCAAAAATATAAAATACGGGTCCCCTAAATTTGTCTTAAGAATCTGTGACCAAATTTTGTTGCATGAATTTCGGGACACCCTGTATATATATAGGGTAGCCCATCGAAAACGTACCGCAAGGCATTACAGGGTAGTAATGAACTTTTCGGCAAAATCCAAAAACAGGTAAAGTTTGCTTCTGAGAGGGACAACTTTTGGCGCAAAAAGCATAGCAAAATCTTCAACCCCCTAAGTGGGGGTGCCATCCCCCAAATTTTTTTAAATGGGAATGGGGGTCAAGTGGGGGGTCATTAGAAAGGGCTTTTAATTCTCTATACATCGATTCTTACTTTTTGAAAATCGATCCATTATTTTAGAAAATATGCAGCTTTGAAAATACGAACAATATTTTTGACGAGAAATGCGAAAATCGATTTAATTTTACTTCAAAACTTACGGTATTAGCTTGGTAAATTCCTTCAAAAGAATTCGCTGTTTTTTTTCTGATTTGCGAATTCTTTAGCCTGATTTTGGTGAGCAAAAAATTGTCCGCTTTTTGTTTCGTATTTAGATAGGCCACAAGAAGTTGCTAGATAACTGTCTTGTGACTTGTAGTTGAAGAGTACCAATACTGCCGAGTCTTTTAAATTGATTAATTATGGTGTACTCAATTCCAGAAAGAGTAGAAATTATTGAGCTTTTTTTCAAAAACAATGAATGCGGAAATCGGGTCGCCGAACTGTTCAACCAACGGCATCCTGAGAAACATGCGTCTGGAAAAATTGTTCGCGAATTGGTGGCCAAATTTCGCGAAACTGGCTCCGTTCATAACAAAAAGAGGCAGGTTGAAAATCCGGTACTAAATGAACCTACGGAAATAGCGGTATTGGGGCAAGTGGCAATGGATAGTACGCTGAGTACAATGCAATTGGCTACTGCGACAGGAGTGAGTCGTACAAGTGTCCAACGAATATTAAAAAAATACAAATTCCATCCTTATAAGATTCGGCTAGTGCAAGAGCTAAATGAAGACGATTTTGATCGTCGTTTGCAATTTTGCGAAATAATGACTGAACGAGCGATAAACGATAATTTCCTCTTTAATGTGTGTTTTTCGGACGAGTGTACGTTCTTCTTGAATGGTTTAGTGAATCGCCATAATTGTCGTTACTGGGCTGATACCAATCCAAGGATTTTCCATGAGACACACTCCCAACACCCCCAGAAGTTGAATGTATGGGCAGGTATTTTTGGAAATTCCATTGTAGGTCCTTTTTTCCTTCCTGGAAATTTGACAGGCGATATGTACTTGGATTTACTACAAAATGTCATCGACCCAGCTCTAACAAATATCATAGAGGACGACCCTGCTTACAATGAACACGAACTGATTTTCCAGCAAGACGGAGCTCCTCCACATTACTCGCTCAATGTGCGCAATTACCTAAATGAGACGTTTCCAGGACGCTGGATAGGACGAAGAGGTGCAATTGAGTGGCCCCCTCGGTCACCCGACTTAAATCCTTTAGATTTCTTTCTCTGGGGGCACATTAAAAGCAAAGTTTACAGCACTCCACCTGATACCTTGGAAGATCTGCGAGGACGAATCATTAATGTATGTCGCGAAGTAACACCGCAAGTGCTCCAGAATGTTCGACAACGGTTTGAAGACAACCTGTATCATTGTATGCAAGTTGGCGGACAACATTTTCAGCATTTACTTGACTAATACCGTAAGTTTTGAAGTAAAATTAAATCGATTTTCGCATTTCTCGTCAAAAATATTGTTCGTATTTTCAAAGCTGCATATTTTCTAAAATAATGAATCGATTTTCAAAAAGTAAGAATCGATGTATAGAGAATTAAAAGCCCTTTCTAATGACCCCCCACTTGACCCCCATTCCCATTTGAAAAAATTTAGGGGATAGCACCCCCACTTAGGGGGTTGAAGATTTTGGTATGCTTTTTGAGCCAAAAGTTGTCCCCCTCAGAAACAAATTTGACCTGTTTTTGGATTTTGCCAAAAAGTTCTTTACTACCCTGTAATGCCTTGCGGTACGTTTTCGATGGGCTACCCTGTATATATATATATATAAAGCCAAAAAATTAGACGGCTGTCTAAGTTAAAAACCAAATTTCTTTCTTTTCTTTTAATTGACTATTTTATAAGAAAATTTTAACTTGTATCCTATTGTAGTTTTTTCCTGATGAAAAAACAGAATACAGTTTCGAAAGCTTGAAAATTTAAAAGAGTGTAACTTTTTTTAACCTTGGCTGCATCCCCGTCTAAGAAAGAAATTTGGTATATATTGATATATAGATCTATATTTACTTATTCTCCCTAAATAGTTTACATATTTATGAATATTATAATAATTAAATACTAAAAGTCATGTTAACAGTTCGTGAAACTTATTTGTGTTTAATTTTAGAACCTATTAGAAAATTTTTAGAAAGTATGAGCATTTCTACAAACTCCGCAACCCAATGCAAATTCTTCACCTGTAGGAGGATGTTTCATAAGTAACGGGCATTCATATCCTTCAAGTTGCATAGCTCTTGGACCTAAATGAAAAATACTTTGATTAGTGATTTATACAGGGTGACATGGAAAGAAGTGCATAGCACCATACGATAGAGGACCTAAAAACGTATAAAAAGTTCCTATACACTTATGTCTAAAAAAGAGTGTTAAAGAAATTTTTGAAAATATTGATTTCTTTTTATTACTTCCGATTAAGTGGAGGGAATTTACTGACAATTGGTACATAATATCGTCTACACGTAGCCAACCAGTGGCGGAGTTAGAGGGTTCATTATGCTTAAATCAAATTAATAAATGAATAGGGTCTTGTAAATATTAACATTATAACATTTTGCGATAGGTAATATAATTCCTATTAAAAGTTCCTCTCAATTTTTGTCATCACCTCAATCATATGTTGCAAGGTTTCCCTACAAAAAATTTTCACTTGACATAAAATCCATGTCCATGTCCCTCAAATAGCAGCCACTCGCAATATTGTACACTGGGTAAATGATCGTCTAATACGTGATGAGCTTTTTGAAAATGGAAGGAGTAATAGCCATGACTTAAGGACTTGTCTGACTGACTCGCGGTTTATTTTATGTAGCTAAACTTATTTTTCTGGTACTTATTTCTGGATTATTTTCTACCGTTTGCAAAATAGCTTCTTTGTTATTAACAGTACGATCAGTATTAATTTATTAATTTGATTTAAGCATAGTGAGCTCTCTAACTCCGCCACTGGTTAGCAACCTGTAGAGGACATTATGTACCAATTGTCAGTACATTCCCTCCACTTATTCGGAAGTAACAAAAAATAATACTTTCCAAAATTTCGTTAACACTCTGTAAGTATCTCGGAAACAAAATAAACTTTAATAATTATTATCAATATCATATTATTTGTTTCAAATGGCATATACTTTACATTTTTCCCAGATTAATTTTATTTGCCCTGTTTTTATTAAATACCTCTTAAAAAGTCAGATAATAACAGATGAACTATTTATACAGTGTGTTCTGAAAGTCTGTCAGGAAACTCCGGGAAGTGATTCTACGGATTAAAATAACAGCAGTATATAATGAACATTTTTTCAATCACCCACTAATTAGATGAAGCTCTATTGGACCAGTCAGAGAAAAGTTTCATTACCCGCCGCTAGAGGGTACTTCACCTAGAACTAAAAATTCATATATAGTTCATAACTTTTTCTCTTGCTTAACATCACAGAAATTTAAACATTATTAAAATGAGAAATAATATCAGAAAAAATTATGCACTCTTTGTTCAAGCCGATAACTGTTTCCAGGAAATCGCTATTTAAACATCAAATTTTTGATAATTCTTTCTGTAATTAATCAAGTTGCCATACTTTAAATAAATACCATTAGTAATTTTGGTGTTATGAATTGTAATAAAAATTGTTTAAAGCAGGTATGTTTGATTGTTCACCATAATAAATTTTTTTCGAAAAATAAGATGAGGATAATGAATTTACTAATAATATTTTATTTAGTAACAAAGCCGATTTTGCAAGAGATGGTATTACATCATGGCAACTTGATTAATTGCAGAAAAAAATGTCAACAATTTGATGTTTAATAACATTTTAATTGCGATTTCCTGCTAAACGGTTACATTTATCGGCTTGAATTAAAAGTACATAATTTTTTCTGATTTCCCCTATCAATAATGTTATGAACAAAACAAATTTTGAGTTCTAGATAAAGTGCCTTCTAGAAGCGGATAATGAAACTTGAATTGAATAAGTTATTTAAATAGAAAAATTAAAAAAAATTAAATTTGACAAACTGTAACTTGTGAAACAATTGACAATTTGAAAAAAATTTTCATTACATACTGCTATTATTTTAATCCGTAGAATCACCTCCCAGAGTTTCCTGACGGACTTTCAGAACACCCTATGTAACTATATACAGGATATTTCGAATAAGGATCGACACAGAGCAGGGGCATGTAGGGGAATTCAAAATATAATGATTTAACGCAACTTACCTTTACACTAATCTGCACCCCTGAGAAGTTGTAGGTCTTAAAAGTGGGGTTTCAAATTTCGAAAAAAATCAATATCTCAATTATACTTGAATTTAGAAAAACCAAATTTGGTACACGGTGTGACTGTACCGAGAGTATTAATCGACAGTAAGTAGAGTTCAATTAGAGCCTTTTAGGGGATTGATGATGCACCATTAAAATGTGACAGAATTTTTTAACCCGTTGGCGGACTTAAAAAATTATGACTTTATTTTATGGGGAATTTAATTCTAAAACTTTTCTTACTCTTGTTAGTTTTGAAACAACTTTATTTAAAATCGTCGAAAATTCAAAAGTTGTCTATGAATTTATTCAGATATTGGATATTGAAGACTAACAATTGGCAACAAGCAATATCACTCGGCTAAACTTTAAGCCTGTTAAGGGTTATTCGAGCAATAGTGTGTAGTATATTTTTTTATAATTTCTGGGCAACTTTTATTAACGTACATTATTTAACAATCATCTACTTTTAATAAGACCTATATCCCATTAAAAATGAAATTAAGTTTGTAAAGTGATAAAAAAAATTAACAACGGCGCGGCGTTTGTGAGTGATATTACCAGAATGTACCCTTAAATATTATTAGTCTCTTTAGGTCTAGGAGTAAGTTACTTGGGGAAAATAATATACAGATATTGCAGATATTTTATACAGGATGTCTCACGGTCACGGCCCATTAGAATTATTTCAGAGACTACTTCGATTTGAATTTTGAAAATTTGGGATACCGGGTTTTTGAGCATGACCTTCTCAACTAAAATAATGGCGTCCACATACCACTTCCGGAAGTTGCCATGAACTTGCTTATTGTAAATGGAACACCCTATATATTACTGCAATTTTTGATTCTACGTGTTATTTTAGGTGGACTTTTATGAAGTTTTCCTATTCCTAAAATTTACCGTTTTCGAGATATTTAATTTTTTTCAAAAAAATGGAGAGAAACAGTGACTAGCTTCAAACCATGTGTATTTTATAGTAAGAAAGATAAAGCAACAATATTTATACAGGGTGATTCTGAACTTATCCAAAAAAAATTCTGAATGTACAGGGGACCCTTACAAATACAATTTTGTAAAGAAAAAATCAAAAAGGGCAGTTCGAAAATGATTTAAAAATACACTTTTGCACCGCACTGGAATCTGGTCCACTGTAAAACCTGACCTCGCACAATGCGACCGGCATGGCAGTGTGATAAAAACGGACAAAAATTTTAGCAATGAAAGAAATAAATAGAATTTTATAGCACCTATTTTATATCGGCGAATTCAACTGCTCTTGCCTTTATTAATTAATAAAATTAATTTGTGTTTTTAAGTAATAAATTTATTTGACATACATTTTATCCACCAACGTGTAAACACATTTGGGTCCGTCTTACACAGTTTCTACGAACTAACACAAATATTGTCTTGTTTCACCATAACACAAATGTTGTCTTGCTTCACCATAAATTAAAACGATATCCATCAACTCCTGCTATATACGCAAACCATTACAAATTGAAGCTACTTTCTGCTCTTCATCCGCCGTGCAGCGTGTACAATTTTGTGACACGATGTTAGTGCGATACCAAGAAGATCCACAATTTTTGCAACAAGAAACTTTCAAAGTAATTTAGCGTAAATGTTTTTTGTCTAATTAAAGGTAACCAAATTTCTTACCATATCTACGAAGAAAATTTAAATGTCGACAGATATCTCAATATTTTACAAACGGTTGTAGCAGATTTTCTAGATGATATACCTTTAGACCAACTAAGGAAGTATTTGTATCAATTAGACGGGGCTTCACCTCACTGTCACAATCAAATCGATCAACAGCTGACTGAAATGTTTGAAGATAGATGGATGAGACGCCTAGGACCGTGGAATTGGCTAGTGAGGTCTCCCGACCTCACTCCATTAGATTTTTATGTTTGGGAAGTAATAAAGCAAAAAGTTGCTTCAAAAGTGGATTTGATTGCTCGAATACGAAGAGCGTTTCATGAATCGCCTGCAGCTGAAATAGCAAAAGCGGTGACTGATGGTGTTATCTCTAGAATCCACAAGTGCTTAGCCATTAATGGGGGTCATATCGAACACTTAATGACTTTTTTAAGTAATTTTTTTTATCTTAGTGCATTATTATTAACATACATAATTAAAATTGTGTATTACTATGTATGAAGTTGATTTTTTAGAATTCTTCTTAATTTTATTCTGCTCATTGGTGGAAAATTGAGATATGTCTCATTAAAAACTGTAAATGTGCTGCTTAGGATCTCATTGCAACGTCTGTGAATAAATAATAATAAATAACTGGTGACAGTTTAGTTGTTTGTTTTGAAGTTTTGCTAAATATTCCACAGCTATCCTTGCAAGGAATTACATGATTTTAGGTGATTACACAAAAAATAGTAGATAACTTAAAAACTAGAAGAGATAGGTATAGAGAACCGTGATACCGTTCGAAGGAGAACAAAATTGTGTATCAGAATATAGAAAAAACATACAGTGTGTTCCATTTAAAAAAACCGACTTATGAATGTTTGAAGTTAACTAAACTCGGCATTAAATTTCTAGCACCCTGTATGCAATTAAGCCACTTTGAAAGTATGAATGGGAATCTTAGGGGTCTAGCTATCGCCCCTATAAATATTGTTGCTTTATCTTTCTTTCTATAAAATATACATGATTTGAAGCTAGTCACTGTATCTCTCCATTTTTTTGAAAAAAAAATAAATATCTCGACAACGGTTAATTTTAGGAATGGGGAAACTTCACAAAAGTCCACCTAAAATAACACGTAGAATTCAAAATTGCAATAATATATAGGGTGTTCCATTTAAAATAAGCAAGTTGATGGCGACTTCCGGTATAACCGGAAGTGGTACGTGGACGCCATTATTTTAGTTGAGAAGGGCATGCCCGAAAACCCGGTATTCCAAATTTTCAAAATTCAAATCGAAGTAGTCTCTGAAATAATTCTAATGGACCGTCACCGTGAGACACCCTGTATACAGGGTAGCTTTTCAGTAGGTATACGTCATAATTTCAGAAAATTATTGTTTGGGTCATTTAATCTTTAAGCCTTAATGCTCTAGAGGTTGGTTTTCAAGTTAAAATTGTTGAAGTTTTACAAAATATCAAGGTTCTGCATACCTAGGACTTACAGTTTGTGAGATATTTAAATTTTAGTGAAAATGCAGGCATAGCGTAGAAATTTAATATTAGCAATAAAAAAATAATTTTAAGGAAGCAACTTTGGTGAGTATATTTTAGATCCTTGAAGTTATAACTCATTATATTTCTCACTTAGCATTATACAGGGTGTTCAAAAAACTGCTAAATACTTCTCTCAACTTTAAACAGCAATAACTTGGTTATTTTAAATGGGACACTCAGTATATTTTTTACTTTGGGAGTTAGGAAATTTAAAACTCTTTCAAACTGTGTATAGGTTCTCTATACATATTCTACTGGTATTGAAGATATGTGTGCCGTTTCGTTTCCTATCGATTTTTTTTGTAAGATGTATCCACGTGTCTTTATCGAGGTCTTTATTGAATTGGTTTGGGTTCTTCTCTCTAAATATATTGAGAAAAATGAGGATGCAATTATATGGCGCACCTCCAAATTTTTCATATTCAGTGAGAAATTATTTAAATCGAAAATTTAGTAATAAACGGATAAGTGCATGTCAGTGGCCACGTAGGTGTCCAGACTTCACCGTAATGGACTTCATTGTTACGAGCTATATAAAAAATCTTGTACACAATGTTCCACCTACTACTTGCGATGACATTGGAGGGAAGGATTAGAGATGCATTTGCGCGAGAATATCATTTGAAGATAGAATAAGATGCTGTATTCAGGAGAATGGTTATCAATTCGAACATCAATTAAAATGTTTCTTTGTTTTTCTAAAAGTAAAATTTCCTTTTGTCATTATCATGACAATATTCAAAAAAGTTTTCTAATAAAAAATAATATTTTATAAGCAGGATAATTATAAAAAGTTATTAGTTCTGTATAAATATGTTTGTAGTAAGTAACTGAATTATTTATGAACATGAAAAACTTTTTTTAAAGAAAATTTTACATTTAGAAGAAACAAAGAAAAATTTTAATTGATGTTCGAATTGATAACAATTCTCCTGAATACAGCATCTTATTCTATCTTCAAATGATATTCTCACGCAAATGCATATCTAATCCTTCCCTCCAATATCATCGCAAGTAGTAGGTGGAACATTGTGTACAAGATTTTTTATATAGCTTGCAACAAAGAAGTCCATTACGGTGAGGTCTGAACACCTACGTGGCCACTGACATGGACCATTCCTACTTATCCATTTATTACTAAATTTTCGATTTAAATAATTTCTCACTGAATATGAAAAATTTGCAGGTGCGCCATCTAATTGCATCCTCATTTTTCTCAATACATTTAAAGAAGCATCATCAAGAAGAACCCAAACCAATTCAATAAAGACTTCGATAAAAACACGCGGATACGACTTACAAAAAAAATCGAAACGGCACAAATATCCCCAATGCCGAGTTTTAAATTTCCTAACTCCCAAAGTAAAAATATACTGGGTGTCCCATATAAAATAACCAAGTTATTGCCGTTTAAAGTTGAGAGAAGTATTCACCAGTTTTTTGAACACTCTGTATAAATGACGACAAATATAACAATTTATAACTTCAAAGATCTAAAATAGACCCTCCAAAGCTGCTTTCTTAAAATTATGTTTTTATTGCTAATATTAAATTTCTACGCTATGCCTGCATTTTTCACTAAAATTGAATGAAATATCTTACAAACTGTAAGTCCTAGGTATGCAGAACCTTTAATAAAGATCATCTATTTTTTTATGGTGCTTTCAAAAATGCAGTAAAATACAGGGTGTTCCATTTAAAAATACATAACTTTGATATGGTACGCTTTTCCTGGACACCCTGTATATTTCAAAATATTTTTAAAATGTAGCCGTAATCAACCTACACATACCCACCTAAACAGGTTTCTGTAACATATGCCGTTTGGTCACTAGCGACCGAGGCGTTACTGGTGGCCCACCCTGTATATTAAAAATTTTAAAAAATTGTTAGAAAATTTCTACCTAGTTATCTGAGGAACAGCGAAGAGACTTCCAAACAATTCAATTGAATGATTTTGGGATTTTTGATGGTTGCAGTATACTTTGAGTACATATACTGTGTTTTAAACAAAATTTCCAAACATTTTTTTGTGTTTTAGAAATATTTTTCTTATATGTTAATTTTATTTTAAACTTGTCGAAAATATACTGTTTATTTGAAACAAATTGGAAGATATCCTTTTACTTCAAAATAACAGGACGAATTAAATGCACTTATTCAGTCTGTGAAATATTCAGTCTTGCCGAAATTCTGCGGTTCTTAGTGACAATGTTTCCCAAAATACCAGTTAATTTTTTCCATTAATTAGTTGTATCATGATGAATTAAGCTAAGTTGATCTTCAGAAATATTTGAATAAATGTGACATATTTTTAAACTTCACTCCTGTACTTCACAAATCAGTGGCTTCAGACCCTTGGTTCATTACGACTTTTTGGTCTAAAGTAATTCAAGTAACTTCTGGAAGTTATGACGTATACTGATATCTTGTATATTTCCTATAAACATTTTTTACTAACTTATATTTACCTGCAGGACACACGGGCAATTCACTTTTATGTAAGTTGGTTACCCTTTGAAAATCATCATGACAAAGATTACAAAAATGGGTGGTACCAAAACAGAAGAAAATTGCAACAGAACAACAATAGCGACATTTATATTCCAAAAAATCCGTGCCATGTTTAGGACATATTTGTGCCCTTGCTATGTCAGAACAAGCTCCACAAACTAATTCTGTTGGATCATAATTTTCACCTAATTCAACATCACATCTAACTTCACCCCCATAATATGCCTAGAATTCATCAAAGATACATATACTTAATTTTTATTATAATTGTTGATTGATTTTACCTTGTTGCATTTGTAACACATATAATACGCAAATCTGTCCATTGCATACGAAGCAGTATCATTATGAAAACTTGTACCAGGTACAGCCTCAGCAGCATGCAATCCTTCATATTCTAATCTCATTAACGCTTTCCTGCGAACATCATTATACAGTTCTCGGACGGGTGTCAGCAACTCTTCTAATATTTCATGATCAATTTCTGTCTAAAAATGCAATATATGCATGTACAGCGCTATCCAAAAAGTTTGCACCATATGGGAAAGTGTACTGTTGCATTGTGCTTGTATGATATATATATATATAGGGTGTTAATGAATAGGTGTTACAAACGGATATGGTATGTAAAAAATCCAAAAATAAGTGCAGTTTACTTAATAAACATATTATGTCCTAAAGCGGCTCATTTTCGAGATACAGGGCGTTGAAATTTTAAAAATAATAAACTATTTTTTCCTGTAGCTCCGGTATTAGTTAATATTTCTTTATCAAACTCAACAGACAGATTTACTAGCTTAAAGGATGCATAAATATGGCAGAAACCATTTATTGGCTTCTTCTAGTGGCGTGCGATAGGTGTCGTTTCACCTTTTATCCCCCCTAAATTGTGCGGCACTGTACAAATATTAGTTTTTCGTATGTTTTTGAATTTGCTAGTATTTTTTACGTAAATAATGTATACTTGTTAGACTTCCATAAAATGAGTA